GGAGTTACTTGGTTCTCCCAAGTTTTCCTGGTGGGGCCCCAGGCATGGAGGCCAGGCCTTCTTCCCAGAGACCAGTTCTTTGACTCTGTTCACAGAATTCCTCAATTTGGGGGAAGAAAGTATGCAACTGCAGTCTCTCCCCTCTTCCAACTAGGAATTTGGGCCCCTGGACCCAAGCAGGTTCATGCTTTGTGTCCTGTTCCCAGGGTGACAGATACAAATAAGGAACCGAGATGGCACGGATACCCTCAGATCACAGGTCTCCAAAGACCCCATGTCACTTTATGTTGCAACTCCAAACCCAAACCAAACCTAACCCAACCCAACCCACTACCATCCAGTTGATTCTGACTCATAGCAACCCCCTGTAAGGTTTCTGAGACTGTGTACATCTTTGTGAGAGCCTCCTCTTTCATTGACGGGGCAGCTAGTGGGCTTGAACCACCAACCTGGCTGTTAGTCCAACAGTTAATTTCTCAACCACGTCCCCAGGGCTAACTTCTCACTCACTGCCATCAAGTTGATTCTGACTCATAGTGACTCTGTAGGGGAGTTAATCCCCATCAGCTCCCGTGAATAAAGCCCCTGTGGTCACTCACACAGTGGCTCTCAGGTCCTCTCTTTCCAAGCTGGAGTCCTTTTCCCCCTTCCCTTGTCCCCACTGGGATTCATGTAACGGTTTCTTTTAACTGTGGCAAAAAATATACACAACAAAACATCCTTCCATTCAACAACTTCTACCTGGAGAATTCAGTGCCGTTGACTATACGCTTCGTGTTGTACATCCAGTATTCATAGCCTGTTCCAGATGATTCCATGTTGGTTTCCACACGCTGACTTTAGCCCCAGGCCTTCTACTCTCGTAAAGTGTTACAGTCTCACAAGGGCACTTCTGCCCTGTCCTAGAGGGTCCCTACGAGTCAGAATGGTCTCAATGACAGTGAGTTTAGCTTTTTTGGTTTTTGTGGCGTTCTCTGTCCATGTTCCCAGATGTCACCCTGACCCCACAGTGCTCTATTTGAGTTCTTCGACCCAGATCCTGCTCTGCCACTAACCTTCGCTTACTCATTGTATATCCTTGTTTTCATTTCCCTCGCCTGCTTTATCCCCATCACATCCCCGAGCCCGTCTCTGGCTACACTGGGGAGCTCTCAGCCTAATCTTCCCCGTGGGTTCCTGACCTCTACCAGCCTGCGTCCACTAGGACGGCCATCTGGGAAACCCCATGGGACAGTTGCACTCTGTCCTTGGAGGTCGCTCTGAGTAGGAATCTAGTTTCAGTGCACCGAGTGGTGCAGCCATTCATCCAGATTACAGTGTCACCAGCACCTTGTTTTTAGCCACGGACCCGGAGGCCAGGCCCAGGTGGCTTACAGTGGGACTAGAAGAATGCCTTCGCCCACCAGCAGGGGTCCTGGGGTCCTAGGGGGATACAGCCTCTGCTCAGCCCAGAGCCGTGCCCCCCCCTTTCCCTCAGTCCCCTTCCTTCCTCTGTACCTGGCCAAGTAAAGCTGGCAATCCGCTTGAGCCCTGGGTTCAAGCCTGCCTACTCCCCTTGTTCCCTCCCTCCCTGCATCCTGCCTGCCTGCCCCTGATTCACGTGCTGCCTCCCTGGGAGAGCGCTGATCAGTGGCTCCTCTGCTCCCACAGCCCTCAGACATGCAGCTATGACCGCTCCTATCACATCCTATTACAGTTGGTTGTTTACATGCCTCTGTTGCCCGCCGCTGTGAACCCGTGGAGGACCAGGCCTGGGTTTTGCTCCGTGTAGCGTTTGCTGTGCTGACTACAATCACACTCATTCACTGACCCACTCACTCACTCCCTTACCTACTCAATGCCACTGAGTCAATCCTGACTCACATGACCCTATGGCACAGGGCAGAACCCCCTGTTGGGTTTATGGGGTGGTCATGCTGTACGGGACTAGGCGCTTCATCTTTTCCCCATGGAGGGGCTGGTGGTGGTTTTGAACCACAAACCCTGGCGTGAGTAGCCCAACTTGTATCTTACTTGCCACCAAGGCCCTAGGACAATAGGTGTTCAGTAAACAAGCACCGTTTTTGTTTTGTTTCTGTCCTCTCCCCTCATCCAATCAATGAAACTTCCAAAGACGCCGAGTCGGTCCGACCCACGGGAAGCCCGTGTGTGCGGAGTCGGTCTGCGCCGTAGCCTTTGGCCCTGGACCAGCAGAAACACGTTGCCAGGTCTTTCTTCCGAGGCCCCAACGTTTCCTGCTCGTAGTCATGTCCACTTCGCGGTGTTTGCACCGCTTAGGGAGTCTTACACTTTGCTTCTGGTCAAGGAAAGAATGACCATGGAAGCAGAGAAGACCCTCAGCTCCCTGGCCAGAGAACTGTAGTTCAGGGCCAGAGGTCCTCAACCTCCCAGGACAGCCATCTTTACAGAAACAGGTAGCCACATCTTTCTCCCCCGGAGTGTTGGTGGGTTCGAACCGCCCACCCGGCAGCTGAGCTCTTAACCACTGCACCACCAAATGACCCGGAGAGCTGCTGCAAACGCCGCTTGCGAGGCCCTGCCCGCCCCGGAGGTTCTGAATGGAAGCCGGGCCTGAGAACTTGCATTTCTAACCCGTTCCCAGTTGGTGTTCCTGGGAGGAATTTAGGAACCGGGTTTCAGAGGAGGAGTGAATTTTGTTTTCCTTTGCTTGATTTTTTTCTCTAGAAATCTGTTCGAGACCGTGTCGCCCGGACAAATTTTCACCCCTCGTGTTCAGGAATGCCCTCCTGGCCTGCCTTCCCCTCCTGAGAAGCTCGGGGCAGCAGGATGACAAGGAGCAGCTGGAATTGGCTGGAGGAGCTGAGAGGAGTGAGAAGTCTCTGGAGTGTCACTGAGGGTCAGCTCCAGGGGACTGTTCAGGCCTGACCCCCAAAGCCCACAAAGAAACAGGGACCTCAAATGACGAGAGAGGAAAATGAAGGTGGAGGGTGCAGGATCTGAAGAGAGGACTGGGGCGGACGGCCTGACCGACAACAGACGGGTATGTCAGAGATGTGCAGAGGGAAGGCCGGTCTGGCTAGAGAGCTAGCGGAGGCCGAGTTGAATAGATGACAGCCGGATGAATAATACATGAGAAGAAATGGGGACTTTGGCTCTTCTTTGACAGGAAGTATAAATGGGAAGACCAGCAGAGAGAGGGATGGAAACAGAAATCAGAAATCAACTCTGGGTCACTGAGCAGACCACGGAAAGATGTTCGGAAGGGCCCTCGGAGACAGGGAGGAAGGCAGAGACCCCAACCCAGCCCATGCAGCTCCAACGGTGATGCTGACAAAGCAATGAAGCTCCACTCCTGGAAATTTAGGAACTGGATTCAAGATGGAGTTTGGGCTGGTTTTTTTTTTTTTTTGAGGTGGGGGTGGTGTGATTGAGTAAATTTTCCTTCCAGAACCCTTCACTTAAAGACAGACTTTTCAGGCAAATTTTGTCACTCCCGGGCTGGCCACACATCTCCTCCATGTCAGGGTGGTATCCATTTCTCTCAGGGAGATGAACTTCCCCTCCCATTCGTTGGTTGCTGTTGGGAATATGCTAATAGGTCCCCAGCACCCAGACCTAGGAGACTTTCTTCAGGACTCATTCTGACCTCTTCGCCTTCAAGGAAAATTGGTGTGTGGACCCTTGTCCCCGCTTGGCCACCTCCCAACTCTCCAGCAGCGCTCGGAGGAGATGAAATAGCCTACCTGGCCTGCCACCTGGCCAGGTAGGCTGTTTCTGGTCCCGGCCAACGGTGCAATGTCACAGGGTTCATGGGGTTCCATCGTTGCAGCCCAAGGGGCTATAAATGCAGAGGGCGGGCGGCAGCTGGACAGCTCTAGAAGAAGGCCTCACCCCGTAGTTTCGGATGGGGAGGACCCCACAGCCCCCCTCGATGTCCTGGCCCCCCAAAACCCTCCCCGCGGCTTCCCCACCACGGGAAGGGCCAGTCCTTTTCGGTCTCCAGCCAGACGCAGCCCCTCCGACTTCACACACTGCTAAGAAGGATAAAGGGGCCCGGAACAGCCACCGGGCTCCGGGGAGAACCCCCAACGCGCTTCGCAAACGCCCGCACCTGGCCCACCGCCGGCTCG